GTGGGGCAAAGGAGACCGGCCCCTCCCCCCAGTGGCTGCGCTGGTGGATGGTCAGGAGTGAGCGACTGGCAAAGCTTTTCCCACATTGGTGGCAGTAGTGGGATCTCTGTCCTGCCGCATGCATTCTGCGGTGCCTAGCCAGCCCCAAGCTCCCTGGGAAACTCTCCCCACACTCAGGGCAGCACCAGGGCCCCTCGCCCACAGCATGGAGGCTCTGGTGCCTGCACAGGTTGGAGCTCTGAGTGAACCGTTTCCCACACTGGGTGCAGCAAAAGGGACGCTCGCCCGTGTGGATCCGCTGGTGCTTTGTCAGATTCGACTTGCGGCTGAAGCCCTTCCCACATGTGGGGCAGGCGATGGGGTTTGAGGTGCCACCCACTGACACGCCGCTCATGTCCCTCGCCCTGCAAATGGAGCCCAGAGGTGTGGGATCCTGCCGCCCTTCCACCCAGCCATCGCCCCGCTTGGGTCTACAGGCCACATTCCCTTCGCATCCGGCTGCTTCCGCTGCACACTGCGAAGTCTCTTCCTTGCCTCTCTTCAGGATCCCGCCACCTGTAGGACGAGCCAGAGAGGAGTCACTCCTGCACTAATACCTAGAGGAGAGGTTTTGGGGCAAATCGGGGCTGGCCTGGATTAATCTATGGCATTAATCTAGATGTTTTGCTGCTTAATGCATAGAAAGCCACTGCAGCATCTATTGGGTTAATTCAGTAGTTAATAGCCCAGATAAGAACTCCTGAGACATACACACACCACTGGCTATCTCTGCCCTCCCACCCCTGGTGGGTCCGACCCACCTTCCAAGAGCTTAGCTCCAGATCCTCAAAGGATCTGCCAACTCCTAACTTCCCCTGGAATCAACGGGGCCCTTTGAGGCTCTCTGTCTGAATCATGAAATTAAGGGAGAAACGGTGGATGTTGAATACCTAGACTTTAGTAAGGCGTTTGATATGGTCTTGCATGATATTCTTATCAATAAACTAGGCAAATACAACTTAGATGGGGCTACTATAAGGTGGGAGCATAACTGGCTGGATAACTGTACTCAGAGAGTAGTTATTAATGGTTCACAATCCTGGTGGAAAGATATAACTAGTGGGGTTCCGCAGGGGTCTGTTTTGGGACTGGCTCTGTTCAATATCTTCATCAACGATTTAGATATTGGCATAGAAAGTACACTTATTAAGTTTGCAGATGATACCAAGCTGGGAGGGGTTGCAACTGCTCTGGAGGATAGAGTCATAATTCAAAATGATCTGGACATATTGGAGAAATGGTCTGAGGTAAACAGGATGAAGTTTAATAAAGACAAATGTAAAGTGCTCCACTTAGGAAGGAACAATCAGTTTCACACATACAGAATGGGAAGCAACTGTCTAGGAAGGAGTACGGCAAAAAGGGATCTAGGGGTTATAGTGGACCACAAGCTGAATATGAGTCAGCAGTGTGATGCTGTTGCAAAAAAAGCAAACATGATTCTGGGATGCATTAACAGGTGTGTTGTGAGCAAGACACAAAAAGTCATTCTTCCGCTCTACTCTGTGCTGGTTAGGCCTCAGTTGGAATATTGTGTCCAGTTCTGAGCACCACATTTCAAGGTGTGGAGAAATTGGAGAGGGTCCAGAGAAGAGCAACAAGAATGATGAAAGGTCTAGAGAACATGACCTATGAAGGAAGGCTGAAAGAATTGGGTTTGTTTAGTTTAGAAAAGAGAAGACTGAGGGGGGACATGATAGCCATTTTCAAGTATCTAAAAGGGTGTCATAAGGAGGAGGGAGAAAACTTGTTCATCTTGGCCTCTCAGGATAGAACAAGGAGCAATGGGCTTAAACTGCAGCAAGGGAGGTTTAGGTTGGACATTGGGAAAAAGTTCCTAACTGTCAGGGTGGTGAAACACTGGAATAAATTGCCCAGGGAGGTTGTGGAATCCCCATCTCTGGAGATATTTAAGAGTAGGTTAGATAAATGTCTATCAGGGATGGTCTAGACAGTATTTGGTCCTGCCATGGGGGCAGGAGACTGGACTCGATGACCTCTCAAGGTCCCTTCCAGTCCTAGTATTCTATGATTCTATGAAATGGGGAGGCGGGGACAGTCAAAAGCCTGAAAGAGGAGGGCTTACAGAGACACACACCATCCCAACAAATCCGTGTGGGGTTATTTTTTGTTTGCATGATGGTTAAGGGAGAAAAACTGCCTCCCTGGGTCTCCAGCACGAGGTGGGTGTCAGCTGTGCTCTAGTGACTAGTCCCTCGTTCCCTGCCAGACTGAAAGCAAGGGAAGGTCCCTCTCAGATAGTCTCCGAGTACCCTCACCTTCCTGGGCGCCTCTCGGCAGCTCTTGCTCATTGGAGCCCTGGGGATCTGGGACTTGCAGCTGTTCCCACTGCTCCAAGTGAGACATGAGGTCGGGTTTAGGAACGGGGAGTCCTGCCCCTGGAACAGCACAGAGGAGGGATCGGAGATTATCACAGCACTGAGAACGTCTGACTGTCACCTGCAACCGCAGCACCTAGAAGCCCCAGCAGAGATCAGGGGCCCACTGCACCAGACACAGCACGCACCCCCAGTGACCAAGCTGGCAGCCCTGTGGCCTGGGGGCTGTATGGGCACGCAGTGGAAGATACTCCCTTCCCTGAACACCTTCCTGAGGACCAAAGAGAACATCACATAAAAATGGCCAGGCTGGGTCAGACCAAAGGTCCATCTAGTCCAGTGTCCTGTCTGCCTACAGTGGCCAATACCAGATGCCCCTGAGGGAATGAACAGAACAGGGAATCCTCAATTGATCCCTCTCTGGTCGCCCATTCCCAGCTTCTGACAAACAGAGGCTAGGGACACCGTTCCTGCCCACACCGGCTAATAGAGGAAAGGTGATTTGCCCAAAGTCCGTAGCAGAACCAGGAATCAAAGCCAGGAGTCTGTAGCTCTTGCCCCGCACCTAGCCAGTGCCTGTATCACACATCTGGTCCAATAAAAGTAGGGCTGTCAACTAATTGCAATTAACACAAGCGATCAATGCAAACCAGATTAACTCAATTAAAAAATAATCACAGTTTTAATTGCACAGTAAAACATCAAATGTTTTATTAAAGTTCATTATGAATATTTTGGATGTTTTCCTGTATTTTCAAATATACTGATTCCAATTACAACACAGAATACAAAGTGTCCAGTGCACTCTTTATATCATTTTTTTATTACATATATTTGCACAGTAAAAAGGCAAACAAAAGAAATCATTTTTTTCAGTTTACCGCATACAAGTACTGTAATGCAATCTCCGTATTTTGAAAATGCAGCTTACAAAGGTAGAATCATTATTATTGCTCTGAAGCATACAAGTCAAAGCATGAAGGAACATACAACTGTTTACCATTTCTGGCACATAAATACCTTGCAACACTGACTACAGCAGTATCACCTGAACACCAATATCTCACTTTCAGGTAACATTGTAAATAAGAAACTGGCAGCAATATCTCCTGTAAATATAAACTAACTTGTTTGTGTTCATGATTGGCTGAATAAGAATTAGGACTGAGTGGACTTGTGGGCTCTAAAGCAGGCGTGGTGAACCTCAGGCCCAGGGCTAGATGCAGCCCTCGGCTTGTCTGGATCCGTCTCCCAAGGCTCAGGGCCCTCCACAGCACTGAGGAGTCCACTCTGGTGCACAAAATCTAGTAGCATGCCCACCCCCCTGGCTCTGGTGTGCAAGGGGAACATGTGGAATATTTTTCTCCTTCTTGGTTGGGGGCAACAGTGTTTTTTTTCCTGCTTCTCACTTGTGTGTGGCCCCCAACTAACTTTTCTGTGGGTCAGTGACCCCCAACCCAAAAAAGGTTCCCTACCAGTGCATGAAAGTTTTACATTGTTTTGTTTGGGGTGCAGTTTATGTAAAAAAAAAATTTACATTTGTAAGTTGCACTTTTGCAATAAAGAGATTGCATTACAGTTCAGTATAAAGTGAGCACTGTACACTTTGTATTCTGTGATGTAATTGAAATCCATATGATCAAAAATCTAGGAAAAAAATCCCAAAATATTTATAAGAAGCTTAATTGCTATTCTGCTAGAGTATGACTACACTGCATGGCTATTTTGGGATACTGGAGGTATCCCAAAATAGCTACCCCATGTCTTAAAAAGCCACCTGTTATTTTGAAATATTTTCCAAATAATGGGTGTGTTATTTCGGCATCCCGGTAACCCTCATTCCACGAGGATTAAGGGATGTCTTGAAATAGTGCTTTATTTTGAAATTTGGCAATGTGTAGACGTGCCAAATTTCAATAAGCTATTTTGAAATAGATCTGAAATAAGATGTGCAATTTGCACAGTGCAAATTGTGTCTTATTTTGAGTTTAGGGTACAGTGTAGACTCACCCTTTTTCTTTACCAGTGTGATTAAAACTGTGATTAATCATAACCATTTAAAAAAATCTCACGGTTGTGATTTTTAAAATCGCTTGTTAACCCTAAACAAAAGTTATTACCTCACCCACCTTGTCTCTCTAATATCCTAAGACCAGAACAAGTAACATGATGTTTTGCTAAGCTGGCATTGCTTGGGCAGAGGATGCCCTGGGCGTCGTTAATGAGATGGGCATCTGTTTTTAGGTTTTAAGGGATAAACACCAACAAATCCCCACCATATGAAGAAAAGAAATCAAACACGGAAAAGGGCTATAAGGGTTTGTCTAGATCAGCGGTCCCCAACACGGTGCCCCAGGGCACCACGGCACTCACCGGGGCATTTATGTGTGCCCACCTAGTGACCGGGCTGGCCCGAGTCCTTGCACCCTGGGCGCCCGGCACATGCGCGGCACCCGTCCCGGGCACACAACGCATGCGCAGTGCTGCCCCCGGGCACGCGGAACATGTGCGGTCCCACCCCTGGGTGCCCGGCAGCCCCAAAAGTTTGGGGACCACTGGTCTAGATACATGCACAACAGGAAGGTGAAGGCTGAAGTGAACTGACTTGTGGATGTGGACCCTGCTGGTGCGCACTAGAAGCTCCCTAGTGCGCTCTAACATAGCCCTGTTCGAAACAGTGTTAGAAAGCAGCACACCAGGAGCCACAGCAAAGAGATTACTCATTGCAATAGGGACAAAGAGAAAGGCTGGACTCCCCTCCCCTCCATTTTGGCCTATCTACACTGAGCTCGAAAATGAACTGACTTGTGGATGTGGACCCTGCTGGTGCGCACTAGAAGCTCCCTAGTGCGCTCTAACATAGCCCTGTTCGAAACAGTGTTAGAAAGCAGCACACCAGGAGCCACAGCAAAGAGATTACTCATTGCAATAGGGACAAAGAGAAAGGCTGGACTCCCCTCCCCTCCATTTTGGCCTATCTACACTGAGCTCGAAAATTGTTTACCCCAAAAGTCCGCCAGAAACCAGCCAGCCTCCTCCGCGCCTGGGTTCCCGCGCCGCTTCCTCTCCCCAGCCCCGGTCAGCCCACCCCGCGGATCATCGCTGGCACAGCCACCGGGGCCAGGCAGGGGATCCCCGCCGCACCG